TTATTGTTCAGCTCTCTGATGCATAGCAAGTAATTGCAAATACCATGGCCTAGATCAGGTGCACGTTAGTCTCTAGACCGGCATAATTGTTTCTCAGTACTCTGGACAGGTCTGTGACAACAGCTTTCCCCAGTGCAGTTTGTCTTTTGATTTTCTGACTGCTGCTGCTAAGAATGTTGATTGTGGAGCCAATTAAGCTGTAATTGTTAACAACCTCAATCTCTTCTCCATCTATCACAATACTGCCAGTTGGCCCTGTGGTAAGAATCTTTGTCTTCTTGAAGTTAGCCATTCATATAGTCCTTTTCTTTCTGCAGCAAACTCTTCAGGCCCTCCTCAGTTTTGACAGACAAGGTTGTATCATCTAGATAATGCAGGTTCTTCATCAGTCTTCCAATTCTGATTCCCTATTCCTCATCATAAAGTCCAGCCTCCCGAATAATCTGTTCTGAGTATAGATTGAAAAGCTATGGAATCCGTTATAACTGCACCTATTCATCATTGTATTGGAAGTCTTAGTGAAAGCAGTAAGATAAGAGAAGGAAATAAAAAAAATTTTAAAAAGAGAGAAGGAAATAAGAAGTATCCAAATTGGCAAAGAGGAGGTAAAATTATATGCAGATGATAATATACTTAGAAAACCAAAGACTCACTGAGAAAACTACTGGACATAGTTGACCAATTCAGCAAAGTAGCAGGATGACATCCTTTGGTCATGTTGAAAGAAGAGACCAGTCCTTGGAGAAAGACATCATGCTTGGGAGGGTGGAGGGTAGGCGCAGGAGGGGAAGGCCGTCTGGGAGATGGATTGATTCGGTAACTGGGGCACTTGGGATGAGTGTGTCGGAGACAGTGAGATTGGTACAGGACAGTGCAGAGTTTAGAGCTGTTGTACATAGGGTCGCTATGAGTCGCAAGCGACTTGACAGCACATAACAACAACAACAACAGCAGGATACAAGATCAACATATAAAAAAACAATTGAAACCTTTCTTCACTGCTGGTGGGAATGTAAAATGGTGTAACCATTATGGAAGGCAGTCTGGCACTTTCTCAAAAAGATGGAAATAGAAATACCACTTGACTCAGCAGTTACACTATTGGGAATTTAAAGAAACCAGAGCCTCCACCCAAACAGATATGTGCTTACCCATGTTTATTGCTGCATTATTCACAATAGCAGAGATGGAGGCAACACAACTGCCTATTAACAAATGAATGGATAGAAAAACTATGGTATATTCACACAATACAGTATGATGCAACACTAATTTTTTTATGTTTTTTTACATAGAACTCATAAACTTTACACAACACGTGTGACCTTGGAGGACATTATGTTGAGTGAAATATCTCAGTCACTAAAGGACAAATACTCATAACACCACTGTTATAAAACAGGACTGATATGAGGGTTGGGGGGAAACTAGGAAAAGAGGGGATAGATAATGAACACTGTGTTTTAACAAATGAAGAAAAGAACCATTTAAAAGTAATATATGATTAGGTATATGTATTATATCTGTATGAGAACAGTCCACAATCAGAATAAGAGGTGCATTGGAAAGTGGACTAGAGGAGGGAGGAAATTGCACAACAATGAATAATTAAAAAAAAAAAGAAAGTGAATTGAGGGAGAGGGAAGGGAGGAAAATGTGTAACAATAAATGCATGAAAAATCCAACCTCTCTGTAAAATCACAGAATTGTTAAAAATCACAATTTAAAAAAGAAAGTAAAAGATAAGGAGACAGGATGCATCCTTGGCACACTCCTTTTCTGACTTTAAACCATGCAGTTTTGTTCTCTTCTGATGGCTGCTTTGTGGTTCAAGTATTAGGTTTCACATGAGCACATTCTGGTGTTCTGGGATTCTCATTCTTTTCAACGTTAACCACAATTTGTTGTGATCCCCACAGTCAAATGCTTTTGCATAGTCAATGAAACATAGACATTCTTCTGGTACTCTGTGCTTTCAGCCAAGATCCATCTGACATTGGCTTTGATTTCCCTATTGCCACAGCCTCTTCTAAACCCATCTTGTATTTCTGGTAGTTCTCTGTTGATGATTTTTAGACAGTCATCAGGAGGATTTTGCATGCGTGTTATATTAGTGACATTGTTCAATAATTTCTGCATTGTGTTGCATCATCTTATTTTGGAATGGAAATAAATATGGATCTCTTCCAGTTAGCCAAGTAGTTGTCCTCCAGATCTCTTGGCATAACCTGGTGAGCATATCCAGAGCAGCATCTGTTTGTTGAAATATGTCAGTTGGTATTCCATCAATTCCTGGGATCTTGCTTTTTGCCAATTTCTTCAGAGCAACTTGAGCTTCCTCTTTCACCATTGCCTCTTGATCATATGCTATTTCATGAAATTCTTCTGTGTCATCCAGTTTTGCGACTATGTGTACTCCTTCCATCTACTTTTGATGTTTCCTGGATCATTAACTATTCTACTCATAGCAGCCTTTTAAGTATTGCTACTCAAAGCTTGAATTTGTTCTTTAGTTCCTTTAACTTAAGGCATTCATCTCCTTTTATTTTCTGACTCTAGAACATTTAATTTTAATACTTTGCTTTGTCTGCCTGAGCTGCCTTTGGAAATCTTCTGTTCCTATCCTTCATGTCCTAGTTTCTTTCCTTTGCTTTGGCTTCTGGGCACTCTACTGGAATATTCAGATTATCTTCTGACATCCTTCTTGGTCTTTTCTTCCTCTTCTGTCTTTGTAATGATCTGTTGCATTCTTCTTGGATGACACAGGCTAGATTGCAAAGAGGACTGAGGGAGGGGAGGTAATTGTGTAATAAAGAATGAATTTTTTTATTTATTTTTTTTTTCAAAAAAGTGAACTTGTTGAGGGGGAGAGGAGGAGAACAGTGAATCAATGAAAATCCAACTTTTCTGTTAACTTTCATTAAAATCGCAATTAAAATTAAAAAAATGTTTTAAAATGTATTATAGGCTAAAAAAAATAGATTAAAAATGGAGTGGCATCCACTTCCACAGTAGCTTGCCTCAGGAAACCCTATGAACCTGGAGAAAGGACAAAAGTTATACAGGAGGTGTCCAGCCAGGGCTTTCGTTCGTAGGGTCACTATAAGTGGCCTGCGACTTGACACCACCACCAGCGCAGCAGCAGAGAGAGAGCAAGAGCAAGAAAGAGAGAGCGGGAGCAAGCACGCGCACTTGGCCTAGCGGACAGAAAGCCATGCTCCCAAGCCAAAGGCAGGTGACTCAACTCCGCAGCCCTCAGGCCTGCCTTTACTTGTTTTTGGTGAAACTTTCTTCTAGGTCATGTAACCCTGGTATGTCCACTTGCCGTACAGAGGTAATTCGTGGTTGCTGTGAAGCCAAACACTGTGACACTGATGAGTCAAATGCGAGAATGGTTACCCATGGTGGACAGTGTTTGGTGAAGCTCCCCGAATAAAACAAGCTTGGAAGTAGGAGTGGCATCCACTTCCACAGTAGCTTGCCTCTGGAATCCCTATGAACCTGGAGAAAGGACGAAAGTTATACAGGAGCTGTCCAGGACTTTTGTTCAAAGGGTCGCTATGAGTTGCCTGCGACTCGATGGCACTTAACAACAACAATAACATGGAAGCTGTTGTTTTCTTCCCTATATTAATAAGCAGTTATGAAACTGATATCCAGACACAGGGTTTATCTTTTAGCATAGTGATTAAAATATTTTTGCCTTCATGAGTCCCTTGCTTTTGAAAAGGATGTAGAAGAAAACGTTATGTTTTAATAAATTGATGATTTGTGCCCAGTTGGTTATTGCCTGTTCTTATGTCTATTAAGTCTTTGTTTTGATGCAAGGACAGTGTTTTATTAAAAGATTTACTCCTACAGATCTGAAAGAATATCCACTTAAAGTAAACAAGTGCAGGCCTGAGTCATTTAGAAGCCTTTCTTTATGACATGTTAGCTTTGAAGAGTTTATATTAATTATAGTACCAACAGTTTTATTCCTTTTCTATTTGTGCCACACATGAGTTATTTAGCCTAGTGATTTCCACTGCAATCAAGTCAATTCTGACTTATAATGGTCCTTCATCAAGTTTCTGAGGCTGTAAGTCTTTGTGGGAGGGGATTATCCATCTTAACCTCTGCAGGGCATCTGGCTGGTAGATTCTGAGTAACAGCACCGCCCCCCCCCATACACCCTTAGGACTGTAATACATAATATACTATGCTTTTAGAGCTTTTTTACCCCAGTGGTGGTGGTTGGTGTTAAGTGCAGTCAAATTGACCGTGACTCATAGTGACCCAGTGAACAATGGATCTGAATCCTGCCCTGTACTGTGTCATCCTCACCATCTGGAGCCCACCATTACAGTAGCTGTGTCAATCCATTTTATTTAGTGTCTTCCTCTCGTTTGTTGACCCTCCCATCTTTCGAGGCATGATGTTCTTTTCCAGGGACTGGCCCCTCCTAGCAACATGCCCGAATTATGAGTTGGAGTTTCACTATCCTTGTCTCCAAGGAGCCCCCTGGTACTTAATTCTTGGCATTTCCATTTCCTTTCTAGCCCTCATTTTTCAGCTCCTCAAGTGCAAAATAAAAGAGGTGTAGTTGAAAGTAGGGTTCTCCTCCTAATTTCTATTATGTTCTGAAGTGATAAAAGAAGTGGTACTTGGTATTTGGTGACAAGATGTTTATGAGACTTTGGCTTCAAATTGGCCATCAATAGAAACTAGGAATTGGAGAGAACAACTGGATATGGTTGTTAGGAAAAGAGAAGTGAATGGAGACAACTTGGAAGATGCATTTTGGTACCAGCAACTGCCAAGTATTATTGTAATTGTAGAGGCTTTTTCTCTGGTTAGGTGCCGAATCAGAATGTATCCTTGCATTTCAGATGACATCACATATGAAGGTCTTCCTCTGGGTTCCTGTTACTCTCTCCCAGAATACTTTCCTGAGTAATTGGGAATCTCAATTAGAAAAACTTTAGAAAATGACTTTTTTCTCTCTCTTTTCTTTTCAGGAAACACATGAAATTGTGGCAATCAAGAAATTCAAGGACAGTGAAGGTATAAATATATATTGCCTTTCTTCCTGAACTATAGATTTGTTAATAGAATGTGAAAGATGTGAGATCTAACTGATTAGACCCTACCTTTTCCTGAAAGTTTATAGTTTTTGCAGGTAGACATAGTTTATTAATTATCACACTTGGGTTTAAATCTTTAGCTGCTCTTAAGTGATCTTTTCAAATCTCATAATAGAAAATCCATATTGTAGTTTAAGGCACAGTCAACATTGAAACTCATGCTTCAAACGCATGCTATCTAAACTGTAAACATTATTAAAATAAGACAACTGATTTGAAGTAAATTCTTCTGTGGATTTGGACAAATAGTGAGTTTCATATGGTTTCTGTGATCTTTACTTCCTAACCAAAGTTGTAAATACAAAGATGAGTACTATGCAGATAGTATTGAGGGTATGATTTTATACTAGAAATAACTCCTTTGGGGAGAATAAGGCTTGTCAAGAAGAAATAGTATACTTGGAGGCCTTAGTCAAACATCCAGTCAGACAGTTTCAAATGGAGTGTTACATTTACCCTGTGCTGGGCAAGAAAGTTTAAGATAAAGCATGTCTGTAATTTACCATTTAGAGAAAACCAAATGGAAAAACAGACCATGGAGACTACATAGCCTTTAAGAAGCCCTCTTGGAAGCATTTTTCAAACTTCTTTTTGTTTTTAAATTTTTCATTTATTTATTTATTTTAATTTCAATGAACATCTACAGAGATTTTGGAATTCCATTCATTCATTGTTGCACTTTTCTCCCCGCCCACCCCACCCCCGTTCACTCCTCTGCTTGAAAAGCAAAGGAAAGATTCCTTCACTGGTACACAATCCCCCTAAACTTCTTTTAAACCAAGAATTCAGTAGAAATCTGTTTCATACCCTAACCCAGTATCTACATGCAAAATGTACGAGATGTAACTGAAGTAAAAGTCACAAAACTACTTGATTTTACTAATGCAAGATTCTGTTTTCTGTTCTCTATTTGGTTTTCATATAAATGCTCATTGTGCACTGACTTCGACATTAATGAGTCACAGCCCACCATTTGGAATGCAGTGCTCTAAAGGTAACAAACACTAGCTTAGCATCAACCTTCTTGACTAATTAGAAGCATGAAAATAGCAGTCATGGCCTCCCTATAGCAGCACACATTTACAAAGAACGATTAGGTCATCAGCTCCTGTATGTGTGCAGTTACATCACCTTCACCTCACAGACTTCGCAAACATTAAGTAGCAAAAAAGGATGTCAGATCTTGATGTGGCTCAACTCCGATGTGCTGTTTTTGTGGAGCACATGCATATCAGCTGGACGCTTTTAGCAACCATTGTCTGAGCAGCCTTAAAGAGAAGCCAATAGAAAAAGTCTTTTAGCTTGTTCTGGGGTGGGATGAGGGGGAGGGAAGAAGGGAGATGGCTTCAATTGATGTACCTGTGGTCTCACAGGAAGCAGTAGCCCCAGGTCAGTCCATTTTGAGAGCATTAGAAGTGAGCTCTTTGAGCAGTGGGTTTGGACTGACCACAGGTGGCCAAGGGACAAATGATGCTCTACTAAAAAGAGTGGTTGCAACAGGATTTCAAAGCACATCCTTCACATACATGTAAAGGACTCCTGGCTGTGCATTCGTCCTGGAAAGTGCATCATCAAGCGTCAGTTACCACCAAAAATAATCGTTGTCGTCACTTTAAAAAAAAAGTAGTGCAAATCTAGGCCACATAAACCTTAGCATTCTCCTCCTTTAAAAAAAAAAAAACAAAAACAACAAACTTCTATCATATCCTTCCTTTGTATAAACACGAGCCATGATCTCTATTCATTGTATACCAAGTCTTAACTTCAAATGTATTATGCATTTTTTTACTTGCTTTATGAAGGCCTCAAGGAACCCTAGTAGCAGAGTGGTTAAACATTTGACTGCTAACCAGAATATTGGCCACTAGAAGCCATAGGCCTCTCGCTGAGAGAGTGATGTGACAGTCTGCATTTATAGATATCTACAACCTTGGAAACCCTGGCCAGTTCTGCTCTGTACCACAGCATTACTAGGAGTCGAAATTGACTTGATGACAGTGGGTTTTGAATCTTTCAGAGTGGCCACTAATTCCATTGCATCATCATTATTTAGTTAGTCCTGAGCATGACAGGAGCTAAAAAGAAAAAAAAAATCAAGATTGGATACTTTTCAAGAATTGAGGGCCTGCTGGAGTAGAAAGCAGTCAAGCATAGTATTTAGGTAGTTATGCCGCAACAGAAATTGTTTCTAGCTGGAGCATTAGCGATACTAGACATTACAGGAAACAGGTGATCTCACTTACTCCATTGAGCTTATTCCATCAGCCCTGCCTTCATTTTGACCAAATCTGTTTTGCATCACTATCTTACCACAAGGGTCTTGAGCATGACAGATACTGTGAAGATGATGCAGGATAGGGCAAGATTCAGATCTGTTGTTCATAGGGTCGTTTTGAGTCATAGTCAACTTGATGGCACCCAATAACAACATACCTTATAGGCACACAACCTTATCACCTATCTTGGAGATTTACACCTTTACATTACAAGTGAATCGGTGCCAACTCATAGTGATCCTGTAAGACAGAGTAGAACTGCACCATAGGGGAAACAGACTGCTACATCTTTCTCTCCTGTTGCAGACCAAGGGTAAAGTATTTTTATAATTCTTGATCATGGGACAAATAACCAGGAATGAGATAGAGCAGAGAGCATGAAAAAACGGTGGGCCAGCAGTTCTCGTCTGAAGACCCCCTATTCCGGCTTCCCTGTATTTTTATTTGAACTTACAAAGTAAATCACAAAGAGAATTCAATGCAAATGAAGCCAAGCTCTTTCTATTGAAAACCTTCCTCCTTTCTCAGGAGGGAGGGGTCAGCAAACACAATGCAAGAATCCCAGTAAACCCTTAAGGATTGCCTTTGTGCCTCAGGGTGAATTCTAGCTTGAACTGCGCCTCCCCCACATCTTGAGATAACTAACATTCAGTTTATTATAAGTATTTAGTATTGGCTTCCCCTACTCTCTCTCAGAGCTATTGGTGTGTTTTAACCATTGACTTCTTCATTATCAGCTAAGAATTTAACTACTATACCACTAGGCCACCTGATAGACCTTTGTAGATACTCTTAAACATAACTTTTAGAGGAACATTTCCAACACATTTCTACCTTATAATCTGAGGACATACCTATGTATTCATGTGCCTTGTCATTCTAATGCTATTGTAGTTACAATTCCTTATGGTTTTCTGTTCTCTTTGTGACATCTAATATTTGCCTTTTGGTTTTTACCCTCTTCCCCCTAGAATAGTACCTTGCTTAATACAAAGAAAAAGAATGTGTGTTAAGAACAACCCTTTTGGCAGGTGACATGTACATAAATGATGTTGGTTTTTAAGTGCCATCAAATCAAGTACTACTCATAGTAACCCTATGAACAAAAGATCTGAACCCTGTTCTATAACTATCATTGTTTCTCTAATGTTCAAAGACTTTCCAATGGCCTTTCTTTTGTTTAAGAAGTGGATGGCAATCTGGCTTCCAAGTCTGTCATAATCTGGTAGCTCTACCAAACCCTGTCCACCATGGGTAATCATTACGGCATTTGACACACCAGTGGTACAGCATTCAATATCACAGCAACCCTAAGCCACCTCAGTACAGCAAACTGATACATCAGTGCTTACCAGTTAGAACAATGTTTTTCCCAGACACAAAAATGTTCACTCAAATTCCATAGAAAGCATTTCATTCTGAGTCATCTTTTAATCATATTTTTAGTCAGGCCAATCAACAGAGTTTCATGTAAATAGTGTCCTTATTTTCATGTAACTCTCATTAACCCCTTTAATTTGTTAGTTGGTGAAATTTTTCTTTTGATATATGCTAGTCCTCTCAGAAGTCCAATTTTTAAAAATCTTTGTGAGTATAATGAAGTAATCCTGTAAAACCATTGTTAAACTGAAACAAGAGCTGAACTGGGCCTGACTCATATTCAGGTATTTACTTTCTAATGATTAACAAAGAATGTTTTGTGAGAGTATATGTTACCTTTTATTTTAAAAGACTATGACAATGTATATGCATATTAAATTCTTATGTATCCACAAGTTTGTATAAGACATGTTTGAAACTGTATTTTTAAGATGGAAATCCCTATTTTGTTCAAGAAGTCTTCATTCTCTCAGGATAATAAATATTTTAAATGGGAATGAAAAGTACATAGTAAATAAAAGGTCAGATTGGAACTTTAAACTAGGAGAAATTTTTCTTAGAGCCCAGACAGTTTAACTTATAATAGTAGCCATGTGCTATTTCTTAGAAGAAACAATCAAGTGTTATCTTTTGGGAAGGGGGACAGTCTTTACAGGGAAATTGTAAGTTAAGCCATGAATGACTTGCCCGATTAAAAATGAAAAGTCATTAGAAATATATGGGGAAAATATGCAAAGACTTGATATTTGCTTCTTCTCTTTTTCTATTTCCATCTTTCTGCTTGGGAGCATCAACCTTCATTCTTGTCAGCTTTATTATTCCCTTGTTGTTAGTTGATAGAATTCTCTCAGATCTTTTATCAGGATCTTTGCCTATGATTCTTACAGGGTGAGGATCAAAGCTCATGTTACAAAGGAGGAATGTTTGCGTGAAGACAAATCTTTATCTGAGATTCCCGTATTAGTTTTACTTGTTATGATAGTTTGTACTTCCTCACACATCATCTGGATTCTCAGATAATGAATTTTTAATTAAACCCAGAATGATGGAATTATCAATTTATCTATTAATGTAAATTCCCACAGAAAAATCATTCCCTAATAAACACCTTTCCAACAAGAAATTAATATTGAATTAGTTTTGGTCAGTGTTTAGATTTTCTAAAATGAGAAAAAGATCACTTACTGGAGATTATTTAGTTAAAAGGCACTTTTGAGACTATATTTAACTATACATTGAACCTAATTTCCCTACCCTTCCTATC